ATTCTTATTACGAAGAAGAGGTAATGTGAACAAAAATCAATTCGCACCTTTAGGATGAAACCGACCGAACTCAAAAAAGTAAATTTGTGGGAAATCGAAAAAACGAATGTAAATTGTGACACCTCCTTATTAATTTTTACATTATTTCGTAACTATTTGAGTTAATAGCAAAGTTATTTCGGAAAATCAGAGAGGATACATACAGCTATGAACCCTTTAAAAAAAGTATAAAAGGAACGAATACTATAAATTAAGAACAAATATTTTAATATGCGAGTCGTTTTAATACCCAATAAATATCCAAAACTTTGACCAAATAGGAAATATGTCCTCTTTTTACTAAAATAACACATCTGAAATTTGACCGTTTAAGAATTAAGTCTTTTTCGTATTTATCTAATGTAGTTATTTTTTGCCGTTTTCATTTTTAAGTCTTTTTTCTTCGTATAATTGCAAACCCAAATTCAAATATAAGTCATAATAGTAATTAAAAAAACAACGGTTTAATAGAATTATAATATATTAACAAAAATAATGAATAAGTAATATTTATAGAGATCATTTAAGAGCATAACTGTTCGTATGGAGGGTAAAACCTCAGTTAACCTGTCAAGTTATCATGGATCAAAAATTAAAATTGAACAAATATTTTTCATTAGGAACTATTATTACTAAACTGGATGCTAACTAAATATCACATAGTATCATTTGACACTAATTGTCATGTCTGAGTCACATAAAAACAACAATCAACCTTAAAAGTAAAGCTAAATAATATATTCTTTATATAAAATGTGTCTTTGGGTAATTTATTACTACAAAGTAACGTAATAGGAACTCCAATAATAATTATCACTTAAAATTAATCCAAAAAAATCAGTTAAGCTAATCAGTCTTCTCAGTCTTCTAATAACGATTTATAATAATCTATATAGAAACCAGGTACTAGATTCTTTCTGATTAATTCACTTAAACGTTTCTTTTTATTTTCATTTAATTTTATTTTATTCATAAACGCTTTAGAAATTGAGATCTCTTTCAAGCTTGGCATTTTTTTTCTTTTGTTTCTCATATTTACACGAATGAAATCTTCTTGGGCATATGAGGTTTTGTAGAAAAACTCGAAGGGTTTGTTTTTTAAGAAACTTAACACTTTTATATCGTTCCAGGATACTGTGTTACGTTCATCATCTTCGTTGAAATTATAGCCCCACTGATCGTGTAAGGATTTCAAATCAATAAAAAAGTCATAATTTAACTCCAATTACCTTGAAAGTATTGCCAGATTTTTTGGCATTTTTTATCAACGTTACATATTGATGGGATGTATATATAGGACCAGATTTTAGATTTCTTTTTATCTCTTTTTCAATTAAACTGTGAACATTATCACCTTCATTCTGGGTGTGTCCTCGTATTAAATACTTGTGAGTGATACTTGTAATATTTGGAAATTGACACACAGCATACGAGTACAGACTAGCAATAAACTTGTTTTTATTTTGCCCGCAGCAATTGTCGGAGTAAAAAATTATGTTTAATTGTTTATCAGGAGATTTTTCACTGACTGTTTTGAAATACTCAAGTATGCAAGATCCTATTTCGTTTGCTCCCCTTTTACCCTGTGTTTCATCCCAAAAAAAATTATAGACATCCCCATAAGCGCCAAGTTTTTCGCTTTCAGTTATTTTACTCACTCTTGGGTTCTTTGCAGTTGTATTTATATTATGGTGTTTAATAGCAGCCAATTCAGCCATGGTGAAATTCAAGCAGTTTAGTTTAGATATATAATAAAAAGAACTGCATTCTCCCACAGGACATTGCATGATAGCCTGTAAATCATAGACGGTGCAAATATTATATCCATCACCAAGCATCCTACGATCATTTTTTTTTCAATACAACAAAGATCTTTTTCTTTTATATGGTTGTCAAACTTCTCTTGCAAGTTTGCCTTTTGGTCTACAGATGCCATCTCATATTGTAAACAAAGATCACAACGATCTTTTTTTGGCTGAAAGAATCCGATATTAAAATTGTTATTAAATACTTAATAATATAGCCAGTACTCCACTTTAGGTTTCATTGGATCTCTGTTTTCACAGAAGTCTCTCCAGAGATCTTTAACCGTTTTACTGCCGTCAATAAACTCTTTCGATGTGGATGCCCTGAGGTAATATGACTCCATCCTAGGGATTGTCCTTATGTGACTCTCAATGTCCTTAATAATGGTTTCGTCTATTTTTTTTCTATTAGTGTGCTTACCTCTTTGATCCTCAGCTATAAATCCGACATCATTAATTTTTGCTTTGACGGTTCTAATCTGTCTTTCTGGAATATCTAGAGTATTCATGAAATATGTTTTACAAACTCGAATTTTTTGATTGTTTACTGTGAAAAAAAATGCAATATTAGGTGATCTAGGTTTTTGAGCGTTCGTATATTTATATTTTGGCCTCACTTCCATCATGCAAGATTTAATAAATGATCTTTTAAGGTTCACATTAAAAAGGTTCCAATACATTTCAAAAATGTTAGCCCTTTAGACGTCATCTATTTGGTCGGAGCATTTTAATCGACAAGGTTTACACGGGGTTTTCATACTACGGGAAGGAACTTCTTTTTTAGATTTTGACAAGGAAGTGTAGGATTTTCCAAAATTTCGCAATATTTTGTTGATATTCTGTTTCCACATTAGTAGATTACGTTGCCGTTTTCTACATTTTATATGAGTCATGTTTGTTTCACTAACATTACTTGTCCCAGGTTGTTGTATTTCATATTGAGGTGTAGTAGCGCCACTTGAGGAAGAGGAACTTCTACGACGAACAGAAATTTTATTGGGGTCTTGAAATGTGGGGTCGTCATCACTTAAGTCAGGATCACTTTCGAGAGTATTAATTGGTGATATACAATAATTAGGTTGCACTCTTGAATTAGAGCTGAAAGAAATTTTTATGTCTGATTGACTGGTACTAGCACTCATTGGATTTGGATATTTATGTGTGACGTTTGGATCCATGGTCTATGTGACAATATCACTCAAAGTGGATGATTTTATGGAATTAGAACTGGAACTAGAACTGGAACTTCAACTGGAACTAGAACTGGAACTTGAACGCGATGAAGTGGAACTGCTAGATGATGAAGATACTCTTTTTTCATGACTTGGTCTTCTGGTAATTGGAAAATTTGACTTATTACAATCGTCAGGAGAAGATTCAATCCCGTACTTTTTTGAACTGCTTTTCCACTGTTTAAGAACAAAAAAAAAACATTGTAAAAAAATAAATTAGTGAAAGGCTCAGCAAAATTAGTTTGAAACAAACAAAAACTACTGAAAACCAATGTAGCACTTACCATTTCAACAACATTATTATAACAGCAATTTAAAATATTGTTGCTAATAATATCTTTATTAGGCGAATTTTCAATGACTGAGGAACTTGGCGACAACTCTTCCGTTTGATTGCTGACTGTCAATTTCTAAAATGAAACAAACGAGAATTAAGTTTAGTTTGATGAGTACATAGGTGGGTAGATTTAAAAAAAAATATTCAAACTATATCTTACTAGTTCACTTTGGGTGTTGTCACCAAGACTGATTATACTTGGTGAGTTTTTGACGAATTCATCGACCACAGAATTCGGAAACAAGTTCTCTTTCATTTTATTGTTTGGAAATCCCTATTGGGTGACAGAAACCATAATTAAACCTTTTACAACTAATAGCTAAAAATAAAGGTGGTTGCACAAAAAAAATCATTAGCAATTAAAATATGTAACTACCTCAAGTTCTCCTTTTTTTGCAATATTTATCTTTTCCCAAAGCAATGTCCATTATGATATCGCTTCTTCTTTTCATTTCTATGAATTCCAAGTGACTTTTTATTAAACTGTATTGTATTTAATAGCCGTAAATAGACGTATTAACTATTATGCCTTCTTTTTTCACCTACTAAATAATAAAAAATAGTCTCAATACTTAATAGAACACAAAAGGTAATACTTCGATAAATAAAATAACGTCCTAATTTTAAGTCTGTCATATTGAGTCAAGAAATATTAGAATTATTGTATTAATGAAAAGACTTAAACTTAAGTGAGTCACTAAGATTATTATTAATTTTAGCATAAAAATGACTAAAACTTAAATAAGTCACTTAGTGCCGATTTCACCAACGATGTCGTTGTCTAAGATTAACTAACCGGAGAATAAAGATATTCCCTACTTTTACTCTCAGATAACTTACTGTACATTTCACCATGCAAAACAACAGATTAGTTAGCCTCAGATTAAGTATTCTCTGGAATAACGGTTTTGCTTATCTGTGGAAGACTGTATTTGAATGAGCAAATGAATGATTGTATAATGAATACAAATTAAATATGTCATTGCTTTCACTCTCGGCGAGGTACACAACAAGCTTTTTACTTTAGATGGGTTATACGTCAGTTTTTAAAGCTAAGCTATGATGATTCATTTTCATCAACTGTCAACTGTCGTTAAAGGTTGTATTTTATCTCGGTTTTTGGTTATTTTTTCAATTTTAATTAATAATGTCGGACTGAAAACGCAGTCCTAACTGGCAAATGTCGGAAAAGATGTTGCTTGTGGATTTAGTGGCTGAACATTTTAGTTTAGTAGAAAATAAGCGTACCGATGGTGTTACTATGAAAGAGAAAAATGCGGAGCGGGTAAAAATATCGGAAGAATTTAATTCCCAAACCACACTTGGATATAGGATGGCAGAAAACTTAAAATCACAGTGGGAAAGTCTGAAGAAATCCACCAAAAAAGAATCGTCTGCTGCAAGGCAAAGCTTGATTCAAACAGGTAATAATCTTCATTTCTACATGCTACTTACGAAGCTAAAGCTGTAATGATTTATACCATGTTAATTGTTAACACCTATGGAATTTTTTGTGACATCCTTGACTTGTTACTTTGTGTTTTTTATCTCTAATGTTTAATATTTTGTTCAGGTTTAAAATTTTTTATAGAGTCAGACTATTAGTTGAATTACCTAACCCATTAAAAGTCTATTAATTTTGTGAATAAATTACAAAATTATTCTTATTTTGAAGGATTGGGGAGACTACACTCCAAAACTGCTGCAAACTCCAAAATCTGCACCTCTACGAGCAATGAGTAAGAGAGAAGAGGATGTAGGAACTTCTACTCAAAGTAAGAGTTGGAGTTCCAAGCGCAGACCGGCTGTACCATCTTCATTGCTAGAGGATTTACAAAAAACAAAAAAAAAGCTACCGAAATGCAGATGAATTTTGCTGCTGAAGAGAGAGAAGAAGCAAGAAAAATTTTTGAGATGGAAATGAAAATCAAAAATGAAATTTTAAAGCAGGAGAAACTAAAAACTAGGTTATTACTACTACAATTAAGGCGGAGAAAACAAAAAAAAATAATTAAAAACTGCGACTTAATAAAAAAATATGACTTTTATTTAACTTTTTTCCCACAATGAACTAAATAAGATTCCTAAAGTGATTGTTTATTAGGAGTTCTCTGGCTCTACTTCGCTGAGGAGTACTTGATCGTTCACAACTTATTTGTCCATTTTGTAAGAGCACCTTGGGAGGCGGAAGAATCAAACCTGGATCATCAGGTGGAACTGTTTCTCCTCGTTGACGCAATATGTTATGCAGTACCGCTGTTGCTATAATTATAACCAAGGCCTTGTCTAATTTAACTCGTAGTCCTAAAGCTAGTATTGGAAATCTTCGTTTCCAAACCCCATAAGACCTTTCAACAGCGTTTCTTGTCCTGATCTGCGACTCGTTGTACAGTTGCTCTACTGCTGTTCCAGGATTCTCTAGTGGGGGCATAGAATAGGATGTAGCTGCATATCCACCATCTACAAGTAAAATTCCTTCACCATAATCACCAGCTTCAAATTTTGCTTTACGGCAGCAATTATTAAATATGGTACTGTCATGTGCTGACCCAAGCCATCTTGCGACAATATCAATAATTTCCAAATTTGCATTACATATAGTCTGGACATTAATAGAAAAATAGCCTTTTCGGTTTCTAAAAAGTTCTGCCTGATCACCCCCGGGTGAAGAAATTCTGACATGTGTGCAGTCCATTGCCCCTAAACTCTAGGGAATCTTGCAATACCATAAAACTCCCTTTGATTTTGCCGAATTTCCTTTTGAGTATTTGGAAATTTTATGTACTCGTGGTTCAATGACGCTATGGCAGCACTAACTCTATGTATTATTCTATGTGCTGTAGGTGTGCTGAGCCCACTAAAATCACCGATCGTTAATTGTGAATTATTCGTAGCATAAAATCTTAGTGTTGCCAAAAGCTGATTGATCGGAGAAATTGATTGATTCCTGTAAACAAAAACAGTTTTTATTTAGAGCAATTCATTGGCGTATTATGTACCTACGAACAGTATAAATAGGTACAAAGACTCACCTCTCAGATATAAATTCCAAATGATCTTCAATTTTGATCAAAAGATTATGAGCCGCTGCTTTAGATTGCCGAAATCTTATCCTAAAATCTTCGTCATCATAGTCATAAAAATAATTATTCCTTTCTTTTATCCACCTTGGACGTCTTACAACATAGATTTCATCTTCACTATCATCACTGTCACTGTTGTTAATCATTCTTCTCAAACGTTGCATTATGTAAAGCTATATACTCTCAATAATAATTAAATTAAAATGTATTAACCAAACAGCAATTCAAGAACAAGAAACTTGGACGTACGCGACTGACTATGAAATGTCAAATAATTAACAGCTGGCTGACAGCCAGTCGGCCATTTTTAACCGAAGAATAACTCCGTATTCCTTCAGAATCGGGAGTATAAATCTTTTCTCTTGGTTAACTATTTATTCTTGGGTTAAATTGTTGGTGAAATGTAAAATTTGATATCCTAGAATAACTTATATCATTACTCTTGGAATAAAACTTATCTGAGTTTGGTGAAATCGGCCCTTAAAGTGACAAAATTATCGGAAGAAAAAAAGCACAAAGCGAAGTTTGTCGTTTTATTACCTAAGAAACTGAAGTGAACTTACCGCTGGTTTCGGAATTAAATCGCCTCAATCAGTTTTCGGTCAATCTTTGCCTATCTGCGTAACGTCACATGCACAACACTGTCAACACAATACTAAAAGCGTCGTTTCCGCAACGACGCGGTCCCGAAATTTTGCGAGTAAGAAAGAGACCGATTGAACTGGTTTGTCCCGTTCCCACCCGAATACGGCGGTTTTTTATGGACAGATAGACAGACAAAGTTTTTTTGAGTCATTCAATGATCATAACTCATTTTACCATTTTTTTGAGTTAGGTCGGTTTCATCCTAAAGGTGCGAATTATTAAAATATATTGAATATCGAAATAACTTAAATGTTTATAAAGTTATCATGTTTATATTGCCTTACATACAGGGGTGGCCACAAGAAAATAATCTAAGATATGATTTAAATTTATTAATGAATAACTTAACATTTAATTTTCAGAATTATAATGATAAATTTCGTGTTATCGACATAAATAATTTAATTAAGAAGTTTATGACTGGAGATAGGTATTACCTATCCAAGTATAGATCAGGACTGGCAAATGTGCTATCTTTTTGTTTAAATTTTAAATCAGCCAAGGATATGGCTACACAGACATCTGCTTCTAATCGAAATTGAATTGTTTTTAAATAGTATCAACATACATATTTTTTGTATAATTGAACATTGGTTAAAAGGTAATAACTATAATATGTTTTATTTCAGTAATTTGTTTTTTAATTTTTTTTTTCTCTGTTAAGTCAGTTGCTTTAACAGAGAAAAATATTACGCGGTGGCTGCTTAATATTAGCAAATAAATTAATAGTAAGTAAAGAACGTAAGGATATTGTGAGTCTTTCTGTTGAGAAAATTGTAGAAATGGCACATGTTGAATTCGAGCACTTCATTGTTGTCAGTGCTTACAGACCCCTACATTCTATGTATGATTGTTTTGAAAAAATAACGGTGGAAGTTTTGCTTAAACTTAATAAACAAAATAAATATGTCGTCGTATGTGAAGATTTTAATATCAATCTCCTAGAAACTTCTTCCATGTGTATTACTTTTAGATCATTACTCAAATCATACAACCTTGTTAATTTATTCTTTGAGCCAACATGTATTGCAGGTCTCAGTGCAACTTGTATAATAGATAATATTTTTACTGATGTTGAGCCCGTACATAAGTTAATTATTCGAAATATAAGTTCTGATTACTGAAAAATCTGCCTTTTCTTCTATATATAACAATACTAACTATTTACATAAATCATTATTTAAACTAATAAGTCTCGAATTTAATAAAACATTTACTTTAAAAAACTTTTTTTAAACAGACTTAAATCGTTTAATGAGTGGGTGACAGTAGGAATCCATAGAAGTAGACAAAAGTAGAATAATCCTTACAATGAAAGATTATATAATCATAGGGCTTCATTTAGATAATATGTAAAAAAATATTACAAAATTTTTAAAAGAGTGTGTTGTGCAGCTAAGTCTTTATATTTAAGAAACAAAGTTAAGAATGCTTCTAATAAAATGATAATGACTTGGAGTATAATCAATAGTGAAACTGGCAAGTTGAAACTACACAACTCAAACTTTCAATTAAATTTTAACAATAATTAGACGAAATCAGATGAAGACATTGCAATGGCTTTTGAACAATATTCTACCGACATTCCGATCGTGACTACAAAGTCACTCAATTCCTCCCCTGCTGTTGCCGAGTCATTACTTAAATAAAATGTAAATGTCTAAAAAAGAATTTGCATTTCATAGACTATTATCAGCAGATATTGTAAAGTATTTCAAAACTATTGATATTAAGAAAACAGCAAATATATGGGGGATTTTTGTTAAAGTTAATGCGTCTATAGTAGATGCGATCGCACCCCAACTTGCTATGATTCTCAATGCTAGTATCGAATCTGGTGTGTTTCTTGATTTAATAAAACATAGTAAAGTTATTCCTTCATTGAAATATGGAAGTACATTGGACCTCACTAACTTAAAACCTATTTCTGTACTGCCAACGCTAAGTAAAATTTTTGAAAAAAAATATTCTAGATCAAATGTTAAGTTTTTCAATGTAAATACATTATGACATAATAATCAGTTTAGATTTACAAGGGTTCGCTGGACAACTGATGCCGGTGTAGAACTAATCAAACATACTTTCTGTGCGTAGGAAAATTCAGAAAATGCTTTGGGTATATTATGTCATATTTCCAAGGCTTTCGACTGTGTTCATCATGAGACATTAATCAGATAGCTAAATCAATATGGTGTAAAAAAAACATAGCGTTTAAACTTATTATGTCATATCTAAATAATAGAACGCTAACAAGTATTATTAATGGATGCAGTTTTTCTGGATCGGTAGTATCTATGGGTGCTCCTCAAGGCCCAGTTCTTGGTCCCTTACTGTTCTTGGTTTATATTAATACTTTACCTTACATGTTAGGGAATAACCAAGATATAGTATTATTTGCTGATGATATTTCGTTGATTTTCCAACTAAAAAGGCAATTATTGAAATATGACGAAGTGAATAATGCTATATCAAATGTAGTATACTGGATTAACGTCAATAATTCGCTTTTGAATTGTAATAAAATGAAATGTATTAAATTTACTACACTTGTGCTAAAAAGATGAATACCAGTGTACTTTTAAGTGGGGAGAAGCTGGGTCTTGTTGAATCCACTATTTTGCTCGGTATTACAGTTGACGCGAAGCATCAATGGGGCCCTTATATATCTAAACTAGCTAGCAAAATTAGTTCTGCAGCGTATGCTGTAAACATTTTTAGATGCCTTACATGTGTTGAAATAGCTATATTAGTTTATTTTAGTTATTTCCATAACATAATGTCATATGGAATATTTGAATTATCTTTTTTTTTTTGCAAAAGAGAGCCATAAGAGCAATTTATAACCTAGGTCCGAAGGAATCCGTTAGAGAAAAAATTAGAGAAATAAACAAAATTATAAAGTAATAATTATATTAGAAGCCTCTCAATATATTTACGAGAACTTATTATATGTACAAAAAAACAAAAAATAGTTTTATTAAATATAGTGATGTACATTCTGTTAATACTAGGTGTTTGCGCCAAAAGCTAAAATTTAAAAACAATATAACGGGGCGCGTCGGCGCGCTCCTCTGATGTACCTGGCACCGGCTGGTACGCGGCTCGCGCGCGGCTCTAACATTTACAACTGCAAGAAGAAACGGATAGGGATAGTTTCAACGAAGACGATTTAGTGGAAAATAGGGTACGCGTTGATAGGTGGTTAGAGAACGTGGAGACTGTGCGGGGGTAGCCGCCCTACCGCCCGTCTCAGCCCGCACCCCGCATCGAGATAGAGCAGGCCCCGCCGAGTAGGGGAACCAGTTACGACCACGCTGAAGATGCCCAGGGGAGGTCAGTTGCGAACAACGATCAACCACGCCTCGTAGATACGATACGGAGAGACAATGGAGTCGCCGAGAAATGAACCAGGTGGATTGCCGTGTACGGGTTACGTCGCCGTCGCGCGTCCACCGCCGCACTCTATCGCCTATACATAGATCGCCACATCGCCACGCGGATCGTAGATTACCGTCACCGTATTACAGGGATGTAGGTGTACATAGGTCGCCAGCGCCACAGCGTAGGCTAGAGGGAAATAGGGATAGAGATAGGTCGCTCACCCCGCGAGGGAAAGATAGGATTATAGAACGTTTAGCGGAAGCCTTAGAAGGCATGATAAGACTTAGACCAGCCGCCGCGAAGCAGACACAGGAGTTGCCTTTTTTCAACGACTCTGCCGCGGAATGGTTCATAACCGTGCGCGGACCGCGCGGTATGGAAGTTGATACGTATGCGCTACTTGACGAAGGCTCTACCATGTCGTTGATCGACGACGACTTAGCTCGCGAGTTAAGAGCGGAAGGACCGGTAAAGCCGCTCAATATTAGAGGCGTAAATAATAGTCAACGCGAGGCCAATAGTAGGTTAGTAAATATAGGAATACGTGGCAAGACACGCAATGAGATTTATAATGTAAGCGCGCGAACAATAGCGGATTTAAAGATAGGCTCGCAGTCTGTGAGTAGGGAGTGCTTACGGTTGAAGCACTTACGCGACTTACCGAATTCGGTATGTTTCGACGACGCGAAGCCGAGATTATTATTAGGCGCCGACAACTGGCACTTAATAATCACCCGTTATTTGAGAATAGGACGTCGAAGGCAACCCATAACAGCACGTACGTTACTAGGGTGGGTAATTCAGGGAACCGTGCCGCGGTTAACGTGTAGGGAAGACGGCGAGACCGTATTATATGTAACAAGCACTAGCGGATTGCCAGATAGGGACATCCGAACGTTTGCCAGTCAGGACGAGGAGCTAACGGAACCCCTCAAACGGCAGTATGAGATAGACTCTATAAGTATCTCGCTAAAGAATAGGCCGCGACGGGAAGAGGAGCGCGCTGTCGACATATTCCAGCGCACCGTCAAGAAGGTCGGCAAGCAATACCAAGTTGGACTGCCATGGAAGGACGACAACTTGCGGATGCTACCCAGCTATGAAATGGCAGTCCGAAGACTACGGACTATTGAAAGGAAGATGGACCAGTCGCTGGAGTTTCGGGACGCCTACACAGCCCAGATAGACAACCTCCTGGCGAAAAGATACGCAAGGGAAGCCGAGGGGACGGAGAGAGAGGATC